TTTTTTCTCCTAAAGGGTGGCAGATCAGTAGACGTTATGGAGCCACCTCTTTTGCAAGTATGATTTTATTCCTTTTCCCAAATGCAGCCAGGATTTTGTGCTTTACATTGTCCTGACTGATGCATTTCATAAATAAGGAGACCAAAAATGCTAAAATAGGCCATTTAACCCCTTAGAGCAAATAAACATATTTCTGCTGATGTTCTGAAAACTTCAGTAGCTTTTGACTAGGATGGGATTTTCATATGAGTATTATCAACACAGCTAAAAAGAAATCTTATCACTCACAAATAGCATTAAGACACACGTCAGAGGGTTTAGAGCCACGCGCTGTGTGCACCAGTACAAGATATACAAGGGTACAAGATAGAAGACCTCAACTCCCTCCAGCTTTCTGCAAGAAAAGGGTTTATTTTTCTGCAGGAGGACAGCTGAACATCAGCCAATTTTATTTTCTTCCTTATTATTTTAGTTTTTTTCACAGTCCTGGCAAGGATGGATGGATGAAAGAAGGAATTATTTCAAGGGCCAATGGTTTAATATATTTCACCTCCAGTTCTAACAACCCAAAGACAAGGAACAGAGAGACCTCGCTGGGAGCAAGAGATCTCTGCCTAAGCCCCTTCTGACACAGAGTTTATGCAATTTGGCACTAAAATGCTCAAAGCTGGAATTTATCCTGCAGATGTAACCACAGCCACGGGCCTCTGGATGGACACAAAACCCCCACCAGGCTGCAAGTCCAAGCACCTCTGTCAGCATGTGATGGACAGGGGAGAGAAGATACAGCCACAACACCACACTGAGATCTCGTTTGACAGGGCTGATGTAAATCAAACTGCACAGAAAGTTTTAGAATAAATGACAGGGAAAGCTGGATGCTGTTCCATGGGGGTGGGTGTTTGAGGCACTCTGTGGGGCTGGGGGTGAGTGGGAAAGGGAGCAGTGCTGGTGTGCATGCCTCCCCTCAGCCTCCTGCTGCCGAGACAACTGGATTAAATTAGAGCAGAATGAGGACTGGGGATTACAGAGAAACAGAGGCATCAACAGTTTTCATTTCTCCCCCACAATTATTTATAATGATATGGGAAAATCAAGAGCAGAATGGATTCAGCAAACGAGGAATAAGAGACAAACCACAGGATCCAGCACCAGCCATACTTTCCATGGCATTTCAGCCTGTTGTGCACATCACAAAGAAGTATCTGTAATTCTTGGATGTCTAGCATCTCTCATTTGATCCTATTCAGGTAACTCTTGAGTACATGACAAGACAGTTATCAAGGCTCTCATGTTTAGATTATAGCAGCCTTTCTTTCCTTCCCACACAAATAAGTACATTCTCTTTTGCCAAAGCCAAATGAACAAACGAGACACTGTCGTGACATCCCAGGAATAAAATGTAACAGTAAATCACCCTTGCATGGAAAGCAGTTCTATAGTCAAGCAAAGCAAACTGCAAATGTCAGCTTGTTCATGGTAATCCTGCTGAAAAGTGACCCAAAGAGCAGTATTACTGTTTGCTAACTTGCTCTGACAGTGGCTTTGCTAAATAATCAATGGACAAAATAGACAGATGAGAAGCGTTCCACATTAAAGACAGCAAAGATAAAAAGACTAGTTTAAACCTCCAAAATAAGGCAGCCAGTACTGTCCTCCATCCTCTTGAGACTACCAGGCAGTCTACAGAAGCCCTCCAAGAAATGTAGCACTTTTCACTCTTCACAAGCTTCTGATTCCAGACATCCCTACTGCTGAAGTGGTACTGGCAATAAGAGCACATTTTAAAACAGCAATCTCCTACCCCTGGCTTTTCTGATTCACTATGAAATTAAAGAATTCAGCATTTAATATAATGTGGAGCAAGAAGTCTTCTTCTGACTGTCAAACCTAATGTGTGCTACAAAAGGTTTTAGCTAACAATACAGATTAAAAAAAAAAAAAAAAAAAAAAAAAGAAGGCAAGTTTGCACTCCCAGTGCCAGCAGATGGATGAGTTACCCTCTTGAGACGGCCTAAATTACAGATGGTCATGGGGAGGTCAGGGACACAGCCGTGCCTCGGCACTCAGCTGCCACTGCCGGGCCACACCTCTGACTCCATAAACTCTGCCCTTGCACCCAGCCGTGCCTCCTTCCCGCTGAGCTAAACTGTGCCTCCATTAAAATTACCCTTCCTCTCCTCCCAGGGCTTCCTCTGTAATTTTCTGCTCAAAGTCAAAGGAAATAACAAAGCCAGGGCTGCTCTCCAGCCTCCCCCATTCATCGCTGTCCCCTCCATGACAGCTCTGTCTCCAGCCTTGCTCTCCCAGCAAAGCCAGGGATCTTCCCAGCTCACTTGTCCTCCCAGCTTGAAGGACTTCCCCAGAGTGGAGGCATCTGCAGGCAGGAACTTACATTTGGGTTTTCATGACTTTCCTCTGACGTCCTGCCAGGGACTTTCAGGTTTACACAAAAAATAGCCACTACCAGGGCCAGCAAAAAAAAAGCTTTCAGCCAACTGAAAGAAATAAGAATAGGTTAATTCTTTCATTTCCAGTCCTGAGGCAATATTCTCTCTCTTTCTCATGTTTTACTGGTCTTTTTAAACTGAGTTCTAGGGAAATGGGTGGAAGATGTGGAAATCCTATTGCAAAAGCACCTGCCCACTCTTTTCCCCAGAGAGCCACACAGAGAACATTCTATTATTTAGTTAATTGCAAAGAAACAATTACAAAGGAACTTGGCAAACTCTCTCTAATCACAGCAAGACCCACTGCAGTCCAGTAAGTTCAGCAAATTAGCAAATAAATGAACATAAAAAGGAAAGAATAACACAGCTCAAATTGCACTTTGTTCGTTTGTTTTGTCACTCTTCGTTTCTATTTAATTATTTAAGGTATTTCTTCATAACATTCTGGTACATTTTGTATAATAATGAAGGTTTACCAGCATGGAAATGCAATACATGGCTATTAAATATCTGCCGAGAGAGGGAAGAAAACTGCCAATTCTCTGAGTAGATTATAGAGAGCCTGTTCAGGAAAAATTTCCAGGTTAGATAAATAGAAGGTTCTGCCACAATTTGTGTAAGTTCCAAATAAGGATTATTGCTCAATAATGGCAACGCAAAGCAATGTTTGTGCAGAACATTTGTAACTTGTACTACAGGCACTCATGGTCAATCCCATTTATTAAAAGCTCTTCTAATTTTCCATGCATATACCTAGAGGCCATTCAAGCACAGCCTTTTTTTTACAGCAGCACTGTAACCAAGATTTTACAGTATTCCATCCCTAAAGTCAGAGTACAGCAGAGACTTTCCAGCTGTATTACATTGCTGAGGTAGAGGCTCAGCTCTGCAGAGCTGATGGGCTGAGGAGGGGACAGGAATGAGATCCAGGTGTGGTTCTGGGTGACAATGAGGGAGGTAAGACAGCTCTTGACAATGGGCATGATGTCCCTCCTGTCCCTCCTGCTTCTTCCCAGACCATTTTGAGCATCAAAATTTTATGACAGCTCTGCTCACACTACCAGCAGTAGAAGCCCTGCAGGGGCTCATGTGGTAGCTCAATGTGTTTGTGAGGCAAAACCCTCCCCAAGAGGGGAGCTGGGACAGCCTGAGCCACACCTTGAGCTGGGACATTGGTTCAGACACAGCTCTGGTGAGGGGAACAACACAAACACTGTCCTGGAGAGCAGGGGGAGTCCAGATGCTCAGGTTTGAAAAGGGTAACTGGGAAAGCCAGGCAGGGAGGGGCAAGGGGAGCAGGGTGCAGCTCCATCAGTGAATTCCTGAGAACACAGCAACCCTCGCTGCTCAAGGCTCTTCCCTGAGCCCAGCTGGAGTGGTTACTGAACACTTCCACCTTCAGGTGGTTACTGAACACCAGGTGTAACCAACGTGCCAAACACACCAAAACCAGGGCAAGGACTGGAAGGGATGTCAGGGCTGCCTGCACCAGCACAGCAGCACTTCAGCAAACACAATGAAATGGGAACTGATGCAACACCTGACCACCAACCATGCCTGAAAATCCTTCCCTACAAACCTGGAGTCTAACGTGGAAATTGTGCTCTTTGCAGGTCTTAATGATGCCCATTGAATGAAACTTTCTCTTCTTAAAAAGTTTCTATGAGGAAAGCAATTCATTAGCTGACAAACCTACCACAGAGAGATGCTGCAAAGCTTGCAAGAGTCAAGGGCATTCCAACTTCAGCTGCAGACAAATTATGGCTTAATATAACTAAGTGTGAATGCTTAATTGCTTTCTGAATTCAAGACCAGTCTGCTCCAAGAAATAATACCAAATTTTTCCATTCATGCCTCATGGATTACCTCTGGTGTTTAAGATTTAAAACTGAAGTTTCCCATAAGAAATCCAGAGAATATGCCAGTAGAGCTGAGAGGAAAGAATAAAAAATGTGAAATTTAATTAATAAAATCATCCAACAAAGACTGTCTCATCTTGTACTCTCATAGCTGTTGTAGTCTTACACCAAGGACTCTGCTTGGCAGGAGGACGACTGCAGGATTCCCATGTTTTCACAGCAGGGTCTTCTATTTCCATAAACCAGCAGAAGGCTTCTTTAGGGAGTCCTTAAAGGCTTTTTCAGTGGACCTGGAAAGGAATGCACATGTCCTAGCTCCTTCCAGAGCTTCACAAACAGCAACAATAACTCAGGTGAGAGGATACACTGTCAGTAAACTGTTGAACTCTCTAGTCTCCTGCTCTCCCTCAGCTGCTGCCAGACCAGTTTTTTAAAACAAAAACCCAGCAGCTTTTTCAGTTCCACCAGGTTTTGGTCAGGAACACTGCTCATTCCTGATGGGAAAACCTTGAACCTGCACTAGAAGAAAAGAAATTTCACACCTTACATGTTTCAGTTATCTTGTTACTGTCCACTCAGGAAATCAGGGATAAAAGGTCAGCCCAGGTGCAAAGAGAAAACAGGAGAGTGCAGCAGAGGCCAGAGGGGCAATGAAAATACAGCAGTAGCAGAAGAAACACATCAACATTCTGTTATAAACTTTATTTCAAAATTCAACAGTTCAAAGAAAATTCATTGCAATTGTTTTAGCTTTTCAAAGATCCCAAAATAAATTATATAAAATACTTGCACAGTTCTAAATATTAAAAAGATCATAAAAATTAATGGTGCTCTCATATGCCAAGATTAATCCTTTCCCATTTTGACTACATTAGAAGTTGCCTGTGCAGGGATTATTTTTAGAGCTATGCAGGAAACAATGCAGTTTTCAGGTCTTGATGCCTCAGTAAAGATTTACAGGCAAAGGCACTTAAGGGCAAAAAGAGATCAAGAGAGATAACATCCCATTAAAGTCAGATCTCTGCACTCACACACAATCTCTAACTAACACTGCTGCAAACTGCAGATGGTTTTAAGTCAGAAACATTATTCCTCATTGACAGAATGGAAAGTGTGCTTTTAGATTACACTGCATACAGGGGAGTTTAATTTTCATTCAAGACCTTGACACCCCCACAAGATTTCCAGGGCTTTCTATAGAGGTGTTTTTCAGAAACAGTGTGTTTGTACTGGGCCTATCTTGGCAGATTTGAGCCTCACTGATTTTTACTGTCCCCAGCTCCCTGTCGAAAAAAAATGCCATTTATTCAAAAATTAACTTTTTATTCCTTCTTTGTGCCACATTTCTTCCCAGATCTATGGGTACTGGCATTCAGATAGGTAACCACAGAACCAATCCTGGTGTCAATCACTACTCCCTCCAACACATTCCATCACAGTGTACAACAGAACAACTCCTAAGGCTAATACTGTGCAGGCTTCCCTTCCTCCTGTACCACACCAAGCTTCTGATGTGAAGTGAACACATAATTACCTTTCAAGGTAAGGTATGACTTTGAAGGCCATCTCAACGTTAGTATCAGATCTTTGATAGCTGGGAGGTAGCAGCCCCAAATTTAGAAAGTTTTAGATACATTTTGGTTCACCCCAGAAAACAGTTGTTCCTTTTCACCCTGGTTTCTGCCTGTGTCTGGGTCATCCAAGGTTCTATTTTCCATGAATCCCAGAATTTGTCTATGGAAAGTGCTGCTGCTGGCCACATGCTCAGCTCAAACACAAGCCCTTCTGCTCTGTATGAACTTCCTAATACTGTCATATTGCTCATTACAGCACAGTAAAGTAAAAGAATGTTTTCCTTATTGCATTTGCTGCCCCAGTATCTCCCTGTAGGATGACAGCCAGGCAGGTATTTGGTGTCAGCCTTGGTCCTGACACATTACACACTCTCCCTTTAATGTGTCAGGCCTCATCTCTGGTTACTCTCTGGAGAGATCCATGACAGAGTCACAGTTACAGACCTGAAATATTATACACAACAACTCAGTACAGCACTGCTTCTATTTAGCAAAATGACCCTTCTTCTTAATGTGACTTCCAGAAAAAGAAACATACCCCAGCTTCTACCAGAAGGATTCTATCCCTTTTCTTTTATGTATATTTTTTTATCCTTTCTGCAGATGACAGTCATGTGACCAAAGCACCAGCAGGAAAAATTTACCCAGTGGGAGTGCAAATGACATTCTTCAGACTGCTTTGGGTATGGAGAGCTCCCAAAACTGCCTTTGGAAATAGCACAGGCAGCATTTCCACCGATGGGATGAAATGAAATCAGCTGCATTGTGCTGCAGCCATCCAGTTTCCTCTTTGGCTCTAAGTACTGGCACAAACTATGATAAGCCTCAGATAGTCTTCATTGAAATCACAGAACTGAGACAGCCCTGACTTATTGGTATTCTGAGAAACAGTGGTGACTGCTTTTTAATTTAGAAAAGGTGATAAAAATCTTATATTTAAGAGTGTGCTTTCTGTTTACAGGAGACTTTATTACTCTTTGATGACAAAGAAACCGTTAGTGTTTCCAGAGAACCTTCACCACGTGCTTGTAAAAATTCATTTCCCCTTCCAATAAGTATCATGATTTATCTAGCTCACCTTAAAAAAACCCACACACATTTCAATGTCTTTGAAGGATGTTGGTGCAACAGTAGGAACTATCCAGTCAAAAAGTACAGTCTGCAGAGATCTGGAAAGACCCTCTCTGATGAAATCCTCACCAGCCCATCAGGCCTTTGCTCTTTCCATGGATAATTACACTGTGAGTGCTTTTTCTGGAAGCAGTCTTAATTTCTGTTATAATCCAACCTACTACTTCTGCTCCCAAACAAAACTGCCTTGATGAGATATGAGCAATATAGTCAGGTGAGCATTCCAGATAGTTCTATCTCCTATGTCAAATATTTTTACACATTGAGAATTGACCATGCAAAACACACATAATTTGTGACTTTTTAAGCAGAAAAAACACTCACAGGGGTATCCCTTCACAGCACATTTCTGGTATGACACACCTGTCCTGAGAAATCCCAAAAGCTGATTATGTCATCAGACATTTCAACACAAAGCAGTACTACACATGTCATCATACACACACAGGAAAAGGTCAATAAATAAGAAAACCCAGCTGATACAGTGGGCCTAGAATAGTCCTATGGCAAAGAAATGGCTTTCTAAAAATGTTTACAAGGTCTGAACAGACTGTAAATGTTCAATATAAAAATAAAAAGAAAGACATTAAAATATGATACAGTAAAAATTTTAAATAGTAAAGCACAGATAACAAATACCAGTTGTACCCCTTTGCATACACGGGCTAAAAACTGGAATTACGTCATGTATCACTTTCTGATTAAACAAATTATTTTAGTTGACCTGAAACAAAACTTTGTTTGGCATTAAATATTTTAAGGCTTTATTGCTTTCATTTAATTTTGGCAACTGAATTTATAATCCTCATTAAAAACATTAAAGTGTTTTGGTTGAGTTTTTAAATGCAAACTCTCTGTGTACCTGGAGGGTAAGGCTAACAGTCAGTCAGTGGCTTTTAGCCATAAATTCTACAGAGACAAAATAGCAAAGAATTACTCATTTGTGGCTGAAATCATGTGAACTGTCATTAAAAAGGGGCTGATATTCCCCCTTTTTCCATCTTTGATATGCTTGATCTTGGTACAAATCGTTTTGTTGGTGAACCAAATAATTCAAGACCACCAGAGCCTGTTAGCAAACCTTAGAAGTGGGTGTAGCTTTTCTTCACCTGCAGCAAGGGAGGGACAACAACGTCGTCGGAGTCGTCGGAGTGAGCCTCATCCAGGGCCACACAGGGAGCAGAGCAGGACCTGCCTGAAAGGATTCCAGCAAACAAGATCATCAACAAACAGCACTGACCAAAACAAAGCCTTGGGGCAAGTGTGCTGTTCTCTGAGCCAGGAAGTTTCCAAGCTTACCTGGAGTCATCCAGTTGTGGATGACTTTGATCTTTTTGTGCATGGAGCTATTTCTGTTCCTCTTTAATGAGCCACAGAGCACAGCAAGGGTTGAGCTGACACACTGACCATGCGTGAGCTCTCTTATTGCCTTCAAATCTTTGCAAGGGGTTACACACACCAAGTAAAGCCATTTGATACTGAAGCCATAGCAGGTCAAAACCAAATATTTATTAAATGGCCAAAGGAAAAATTGACCCAAGCTTAAACTACACAGAGAGGTCACAATGAGAACTTGACTCAGATACAGATAGAACAAAGGGAAATAGATGCAAAAAAAAAGGCAGAAACTCTTAGTCACTGTCTTTAACCCTTATATATGTAAAACACCCAAAATATTGTTCACATGCTGTTCTACTGTAATGACAATAAAAACAGTGACCACACCATTGGGTTTTCCCTTTTTTTAAACATTTTGTTTCTTTACTATTTTCCTGGATGTGTTTCTACGCATCTCAACCATTCCAATGTTTAAAGAAGTGTTCAGGTTATGAACAGATATTCCTGATGATTCCAGTAAACACTGGAGAATCAGAGGCATAAAATGAATATGTACAAAGTCCCTGACACAGGAAGAGCAGAACCAGCAGCTAATAACCCCTGTGCAAGAGAGGTAGGCACTAAGTGAGGACTGCTATTAATACCTTCCAGCACAATATCCTCCCCTCAGCTATTAATACCTTCTAGCACAATATTCTTCCCTCAGCTCCACTTATTTTTCAGTTTCAAACATAAATTCTCTGAAAAGACTCTCCCAGAGAAGAAAACAAATCAAGACAACCTGTGGCAGAAAGAGGAACTGGGCAAGAAGCCACAGTCTGAGGTTTTGACCTGAACTCGAGGGCACACAGAGAATATTATCCAGGCAGAACAGACCTGCCACAGGTAGTGTAGTGAAATAAGAGATTTCTGACACAGGAAAAAAAAATATCCTGGTATGGAAGAGCAGGCATACACAGAAAGTGGAACATGGAATAAAGAAAAGGGACCACAACTGGCCCAGGAATAGGAAAAGGGTGACAGAGCCTGTGAATGGCAAGGGGAATGCAGGGAGGCCATTACAATACACTGACCTCAGCCTGAAAAGCAAGGAAACACATGATTTTCTAGCTAAGTCAAAACCTTCTCTTCACCAGCCAACAAATAATGTCAGAGTTTTTCAGGGAGATTTATGAGATAGTAGCACTGGTGATATGGAGGAGCAAAGGGAACTGCCAAAACCAGGCATGATAACCAGAAGAAACAACTCTAAGAATAAACATATTATACATGAAATAGTTTAATATTATCCAAATCACCTTTGATTATATCCTGGTCCTGACATATGAGATTTTCTTGTCCTCATTTTCAGTTTGATGTCAACTTTATCTTGGTGCTTGTGAACGCTAAGCACTGATATGAGTTAAGGGTTGTATGTAAATTCATTATGATTCCAAAACAGCCTGAGATGAAGTTAACAGTTGCAGCCAGAGTGGCCAGTAATATGCAAAGAGAACACTGCCCTTAATCAAGATTGCTGTGCATGTACAGAACACATTCTTCCTTCCTGTCACTCCCCTGACAGAATAAAACAAAACACAACACCAAGTTTCACAGGCTGAATTGTTAATTTCTCTTTCATTTCATGGGAAACAGCAGAAATGGCTTTCTAAAACCTCCAGGTCCTGAAAACAAGCAAAGTAGCACTGAATAATACACTTAAAAAAATAAAAATTATTTTCCTGGAAAATACTGAGATATCTATCCTGATGCAAACAATGAATTGTAAGTCTGTAATGCTACACCAGGATTATATACATTAATTCCAGCAGATGTATAAGGTTTTTTAAAACACATTTTCATCTTCCCCATTGTTCTTCAAATAATGCCAAAGGGGTAGTGAATTGAAATGATTTATTGCAATACAGATATTAACTGAAAGCTTACGATCACTTTAAGACCTAGAGGTCATGAAATGCAAGTCTGGACTTGGGACAAATGAAGAAAGAACTTGTTCAACAGCTGCATGATTTACAGCTGTAAGTATTTGACTGCTTTACATCACTCAGCTGCTCAACAAGCTCCTTGTCTCCCATCCTTCCCAGGCTGCAGGATGACCACTGAAATCCCAATTTACCATCAAACCCCAATTTTGCCAGTGGATTTTTCTATCAGCCATGAGCTCAGAATGGCAGGGGTGGACTTTCAGTTAACTTTAGTTTAAGCTACATAAATCCACATGGCAAAAAACCAAACAGATCCTTGAGGGGTTGCATTTACACCAGGATGCTCTCCTTCCTTTAGGAGGCTTTTCCTAATTTGTTTTTTGGGAGATTTTGGTTAAACACTCCCATGTATCAGGACCTAATACTTCAGAGAGCTCAGTGGCAGGCAGCCTTTTGGGCAGCTGTGCAGTTACAGAAGCACATCCCCAATGTGCCTCTCCACAAACCACCTGGATACATTCTGTCCTCAACCCAGACTTTGAAAGCATCTCCCACATTGATAAAATCAGCAGCAAACAAAACCTGGTCTGCTCCAAATCACTCCTTTTTGATATTCACCAGGAAAGGACTGCAAGGAAGAAAGTTTCCAAGTATGGTTTCCTCTGTTTCTCTTCCAGTATAAACTATCCCAGAACTTCTTCACTCATCAACTTGTCATCATAATCTGCAATAAAACTTAGCTCAGGAGACTTCATAGCTAGACAATGACTGTGCCCTGCTGGTACTCATATGACTGGGTTTGCTTCATCTTACACTCCTCTGTGGGTCTTAGAAGAACTAAGCATTTAAGGGATTCTTTGAGCAGAATTTCACAGCTGATTTACCCTGGCTTTAGAGTGAGCATGCCAATAATGACTACTGCAGTAGAGCTCAGGCAAATCAAGGTGTTGCAGCACTATTTTTTTCCTGGATACTATCACCAGACATAATTAAAATCACTCAAAACTCAAACATCTTCAGAAGCAAGTACTACCTTCTCCTTCACAAAGCAGAATGTGCCTCTGAATATGGAACACAGTGAAGTTTCTTAAACACATTTTCTTCCACTGAAGTGTTACCTCTGTTTTCACAAGCCCTGTAAATCTGGCTTATTCCCCACCTCCTATCTTAGAGAAACAGCCTCACTGCTTACAGCATTCTCTGTCTCTGAGCAAGCCTGCAGGGACTGAGAGCTCTTCATTGACAAAAAAATCGACTCAGTGTTTCTCAGGTCACACTCAAAGTTGCTCCTTTTTTCCCCAACTGGTCCATAAAAGCCTAAAATGTCCCACTCTGGACAGAACCAGCCCTTTTCAATTTAACTCCTTTGAAGCTGCATGTCTAAGGCTGTCTTATCTGCAGCATTGCTTTGTCTTTCTTACTCAGTACTTCTAACATCCTCCTAAAAGCCTCTTTGGCTTTAACTCCATTTTCTCTCAATCAGCAATAAGGAATCCAAGAAGAAAACCAAATGGCACAAGAGCCATAAAAGAGACAGATTTTCTCAGTTTGTATTTCAGTAGTACTTGCGGGCAAGGTTATCCAGGACTTCATTTTTCCCTTACTGCAGCAACTGAAGCCTGCTGAAAAGACCATGACCAAATGCACATGGCTGCCTAGGATGGCTCTTTTTAGCAGATGTCTGTCTGTCTTCTGCAGAAACTAAGTCAGAGTGGTGAAATGCTCTCAGCTTGTCTACGGCTAAGGGCCCAAAATGTGATGGGAAGTACCATACTCCAGCTACAGGGCTGAAAAGGAAGCAGAAAAGCAATACAGGGGAACACCCTGTTCCCTCAATAATTACCACTTGCACCAGAGAGACCTTCCAGACCACAGCTGGGACAAGCAGACAAAGCTCTGTGAAGAAGCTGGTGCTGAGACTGTCAGAGCTTTTATTTTTTATGCAAGGAACTGCACGTGCCAGTAGAAGCAACATGTCACCAAATGAAGCCACCCACATGGAGTACAAGGCTGCACATGTGAACATGCAGATGTTCTCTATAAAACTGTGCAGGCACCCACTCAAAACACCCAGACTTTTGAACACAGGGGAGGGAGATTACCAGGAAGAGGAGATGTGGGGACTGAAGATCTCTGGAGTGCTGCTGAGTCTGGTCTCTTCTCTGTGATGGGAACTGCAGGATCTGCTTTCCCACTGGGGGCACTGGGCACAGAGGGCCTGCAAAGAGACACACTCAGAGCATAAGGCACAGAACAGTGTTTGCAGTCTCTTTTCACAGGCTGTGCTGAAAAGTTTTTTGTGTTGTTGCTCTATCACCTGCAGAAGTGAACCCAGACACTAAACAGAGGTGACAGTCATGTATCTCTCCTTGTAACCATGGCAGCTAACATTAAAAACTTTCAGAGTGGTAAACCCTGGAGAGAAAGGAAGTATTTTCAAGACAGAGTCACCATAAACCTAAGCAGTAATCAAATCCCTGCACTCTGCCTGAGCTAAGTGATTTGATGGCATTCTAGCTTCTCCCTCTTCCTCCTCCACATAACCCTTCACCTGCACATGTCAGGGCTTCAGATTCACACATTAAGCAAATATATCAGCAATCTGTGTGATAACAACAGCAACCTTTCTGCTCCACAGAGTAATTATTTCACTTCACTTTCACTAACTGTTGTGGAAGAGAGCATACAGCAGGACATGGGAACACTCCTGCTGCCACAAAACTCCTTTTAGTTGCACATCTTTTGAATCTTCTCAGAACTAGCTCTCCCTTGTCTTTTTTGTAACAATGGCCTTGTTCTCCTTCTCTGCCAAGGAGCCCACGTAAAAATCTATTTAAAAAATGCTCTTCTCCTGTAATAAAAATTATTTTGTTATTGGATGTTGCAGAAGTATCTACTCCTGGCTTACCTCTCCTGAAGCGGTCCTGTACGTGCTAAGTGAGCCCTGAAAATGGACTGGATGAATGTCACAATCTCATCTCTCTCCTTGCAATCAGAAGAAAAGCTCAAGGAGTCTGACATGGAAGGCAGGCAGGAGTTCTGCAAAGCAATCAGATTAAGGAAAACTGACCTTTTGCAGACTGAACAGAAGCTCGACAGAACCTTTCACAATCTTCTTGATTGTGAAACTGGCAGTAGAACAAACATCCCCATCTTTTGGTCTGCTGTTTTTAAGGTTCTGTAAGACTAAATCAGCAGGAAATGCAAATCTGATCATCATGTAAGCTTTGAAGCACCAGCATTCAATTAATGAAAGAGCAGACACCTGCAAGGAAAGTTCATTTATTTTCCAGGAAGGAAACCTTTTGAAGATTAAGGAGGTAAGACAACCTTCATAATGGATTTATTTTCTGCTTGTATCAAGACAAGTATTCAGTCCTCCTGCATTGGGCCAGTTTACCAGAATCAAAGAGCATGGAAAGTACAATCAGATGGACAACCTGGATGGAGAATTACAAATTAACTATAGCCTGCTAAAGGTCCAAAGAATATTTATATAACCTGGCAAATGATTTACAGAAACAGAATGTTTAGTTGGTATGGAAATGTTTTCATATTCAGAACTAAATAATCTGGAGCAAACTGGACATGAGAGAGGACACCAAGTCTTGGGTTGAGCATGCCTCACCAAGACTCCTTTACTTTTCAATCCAGTAAAAGATGTTTTCCAGATTCTTATTGCTGAACTTTGATGAAAAACGTTTATCTATTACTCCAGTGATTGAACAGTGAACTCTTGAGAGCAGGTGAAGTTTTGAACAGCATTCCAAATTAAAGAGTTAAAGGGTGTGCTAGCTGATGGGAGAACCAGGGGAAAAAAAAGAGTTACAGTGTTACAGGCCACAAGGCTGAGAAGTTATAGCTTTACTTCTAAGAAAACATGTGAAGTGCAGAAAGTAAGAAGGGAAGCCTGGGAATGAGCTCAGTATCTTTCTAGAATTACAGCGGTGCTGCCAACCAGCACATTAAAACAATCACTAGGTGACTCAACAAATTAAGGCTGGAAGTAAAGTCCTTTACAGTGCAAGACAAACACAGAGTGGTGCTGGGACACCCATCTGTCCCCACAATTACCTCGGTGTGAGGCTTTGCATCAGGCAGCCCAGCATCCAGCAGCACTTTCTGTCGAGATAAATGTCCTCTGAAGGCTGCCTGGAGCAGAACCACTGCCTGCCATGGAGAGAAGTGGCCATTAGCTCCTCTGAAAGATAACCCACAGACACTGCACCCCAGGGTCAGCTCTGGGGGTTAAATTCCATCTGGGAGGTGCTGAGGACTGATCCTATCAAAGGCACAGAAGTTCTAGCTGCCAGCACCAGCCTGAATTTCACCAACACAGCACCATGCTCCCATTGCCACCTCAGATTCTGGGTACCCAGAGGGCTCTGAGATGCTCTGCTGCAATCAGAAACCAAGCCAAGGCTGGCAGGCCTCGTGGTGATTGCACCAAGGCAAGGCCTTCCACTTCCCTCAGAGATTTTACTGGGTTAAAATCAACAAAAAGCATTTAGAACAGCATGTTTGTGTCACATGGTTAGAATTAGTTCTAATTTCTGAAAGTGGGATTTTTAATTTTCTGGAAGAAACAAAGGTAAGATGCTACATTGTGCTATTTGAAAAAAAACAGTTTAATTAAAACCCTTCTGCAAAACATTCATCAAGAAATTACTCTGTGTGACAAACTTTTCATTAGCTTCATAATTTTTCCTTAGCAAAAGCTTCAAATGCTATTTAAAATCTTTCTGAAGATACATCATAATGAAAATTAAATCAGGATTAGAATTATCTCATTTGAAAAACTTTCCTGTCTGTTGACATCAGGTTTTGTTTAGAATTTTCAGAAGCTTTCACCTTGCAGAAGGCACCAACTATGGAAAATTTGAGACAAAAAATTTGAGACCAGTGACAGAATACATGAAACAAAATCAGGATGTCAGAAAGAAGATTATAGCCAGCATGAAGAATAAATATTGTCTTGGCTGTTTGCCTTTTGATACAAATAAAATCTGTTGTACTGTTTGGTTGGGTGTCATAAACACACTCACCTCATGCAGAGCAGCTGCTTCTTCTTTCTGAAATGAAAAATGCCCACGTTAATGCCACAAATATATACAAATTTTAGCTAATAAAGATTTGCCAAATATTCTCAACAATTAAAAGACACAGAAAACATTGTCCAAACCCCTGCCAAACTCAAACCACATAATCTTTCAAGATGTGTGGATAGATGCTACAACAAGAGTAAGATTCAGAGGGGGGATAGCTGTTCCCTGATAGGAGAATCTCACCTTGCTTTTGTACATCTTCCAGTATCTCTGGATAACTCTGGCTGCTTGTTCTTTCCTGTGATTTTCTTTGCCTGTACCTGTGCAGACTGGAGGAGCCTGCAAAGGAGAATCTCTAAGTTAGCACAGTAAAGACAGAGCTGTGAGGGAACAGATTACAAATGACTCAGGAAAATCAGCACCAGAGCTCATCCTGCCTGAAGGGCAGAGGGAAGTTCAAGAGGAAACTCTTAGTTCTGAGCCCTGCTTGTGTTCAAACTCATCAGGGAGATGACTCTGAGAGTGAAACACATCCCTGCCCCCTCTCAGCCCTCAGCAGGGCATGGGAATGGAAAACTTTCCATTTGCACATACTCCAATTTTCCTGTGCATTGCTAAGGCACTGCTAACTCACTGCTGTGTTGCTCAGAAATGATTTGTATGTTAGCAACAGACTGAGAACAAAAATCAGGTTATGTGATTTTGCAGTTCTTCTCCAGGAAAGACAAGTATTAATTAACCAGGGAAGTTTCTCATGCCTCATCCTGGCAACTGTGGCCCCATAATCATCTCTTTAAAATTACTGAGAGCCGGCCATTGTACGACACCAAGCTTGTGTAAGTTGGCATAAATCTACTCTTCTATCTTAATGAAATTAATTAGAGGAAAAAGGAAGAAACCAAGAATAAAACAAGATTTGTTCCAATAATTTCTCCCGAGGTATGGTAGCATATTCCACCTCTCACCACTTGATCCTTTTGATCCCTAATTATCCCACCCTACTTGTCATACCTCACATGCCAAACAAAAGTTAACTGCAAGTTTAAAAGACTAATTTAATTTGTTGGTGTAAAATTTTAACTAGAGGAACAAGAGATTTTATAGACTCTGAAAAAACCTCTTGATTCTGTGAAAAGAATTTATTTATAACCTAAAAAAAATGAGCTCCAGGCTTAAGTTTAGCAAATGGATCATGTCATATTAAAAATGACAACCTACTATTAAAATGAGAAATTGGTAGGAACTTAGTGATAATTACAAATAATGGGAACGTTTCAATAAATGGATGGTTACTGGCCAAGAATATATATAGTCTGCAGAGGGAAAAAGGAGCTGTTTGTTGGCTGTTTTTAAAGACTTCAGTTATTTGGTATTCAAAACATCCTCTAGCATCCATGAGCCTGTAACACACAGAAAAGAATCTACAGAATGGCACAGTATATCAGAAACCAGAACTCTCTCAAGCCACTGGACATTTTTATTAGTATTTTTTAGTATGTATATTTCAGGGTCTATTTATTTTTAAGTGCAAATCAAAATCCCCAGTAATAATTTCCTACTAGTATTTAGTGAAATGAGATTAACATGGCCACAGTGCCTCTGAAAGCAGCTCTGTCAGTGCCCATCCATCTCTGCTGGCCAATTACCTCACTTGGAAGAGGGACAGAGGATTGCAGAGATATCAAGTTCAGACATATTTTACAAAACCCCAAAATGATTCAAGAGCTATACTTGAGACTGTCCAGGATTAACAGAATATATGCACAAACAGATTTATTTGGTAGAATACCTCAACTCTAGGAAAACTTCACTTGAAAGTGAAGCTCACTTATTTTATTGTATTGACATCTCCCTTAATTCTTGACTCAAATATTATGTTCCACCAGCAGCAGAATTTAAAATCCCCTCAATTTCCATGATGATTAGTGTTCTACATCCTGTAAATCTTCCCATGAAAAAGCACCTCACTTCCATCCTAACAGAAAAGCAAGTGAGTATTTTCTCACTGGATAGCACTTGTACCCTAAGTGACCAACTGGCCAGCAGAAAAAACACTGAAAAGGGATTTTTATCTTTTGCCAGTCTGCCAGGGAGCACATTTACCTGTGTCTCCATTTTTTATCAAACTGTCGACTCCTACAAAACCTCCCTCCCTCTACAAAATCAGACTGAAATTAGGCAATGGCTTCAGATGCTGTAAGAAGATAAAATTAACCACAAATTTTTTAATTTTTTAAGTATTGGGAAAAGCCCCAAACACTTAAAAGTTTAAGTCTTTTGCAATATTACACTTACAAGAAAAAAAGCAACAGCAATGCAGAGGATCACTAACAGAACAGCTTCAAAAATCTCTCCAAGTTGCAGTGTTAATTATTGAAATAACTTATTTCCAACAAACGTTGGGAGTTAACCATCATTATCTCTAGGACAAGATTTAATGGAGCTCTGAAAAAACACAACTAGCAGCTCGTTAGACTACCAGCTCCATTTGAAATCTATATCAGACACAAAGAGAAAAACACAAACAAAAATTTGGCTGTACCTTATTAAGCTTTTCCACTGTATCTTCTCCCATTTGTCTTTTCTCTTCCTCCAGTTTTAACTCCAGTTTCCCTACTTTCTGTGTCAGGTTCTGGATTTCCTCACTATGGTTGGAAAAGCAAAGATATTTATAGCTTATAGAAATTTTCTGTTTACCCTGCTTTGAAAACACTGAACCTATTTTGGAACACTTGGTTGCTTTGGGTTTGTTTTTTTAAGGCCAAGGAGGGGAACTGCTCAGGATGATACCTGTTCTCATAGTAACAGACATGGCATCAATTCTCAATCTGTGATAGCACAGCCTTATGTTAAAATTAAGAAGTCTGAAGGTTACTGTGCTAGCCTTGATACTATTAATAATGTATTTAGATGTGCTACAGTTTTGTGTTTGTCAGTCAAAGTCCTTTCTCACAAAACAATATTGAAATCACTTTTTTTGTGCCTCCCTTGCACAGGATTCTCACAGTTGTGCAGAATACAAGGAGTAACTGGAATGACACAGAGACAACGGTCTAGAAACAGAGGCTAAGGTAAAGAAAGAACATTTTCCTAGAGAAAAAAATGTCTGAGCCCAACATAAAAGCTTTTCCCATTTATCTTATGAATTTTTATTATAATTTAGATCTCATTTTTACTATACTACTTAGTCTTGCACTTTCTCTAAGAGCACTCTATAGAATTCTTCCCCTAGTAACTTACTCCATCCCTCCAAACACTTCTGCTTAAAAGAACCCCCAGCTTCTTGCAGTTCAGAAGAACTCCTACAGAATTTGAGCCACTTCAAAAGAGAATTAGACTTTGGGAGTTTTTTTTTTTGTTCCAAAAGGATCTATTAATACAAAATGCTTTACCTTAAAGTCTGCTCTTCTGTACTCTTTTCTTCCATCTTACTCTGCCACTTCTGCAGCTCCAGCTCCACTTCAGCCTTAGCCTGCAGTAACTGCTTGATATCTAATCTACAAAGGCACAAGGAAATCTCAGTGATACCTGACACATTCATACTTCCACCAAGTATTTTTTTTAAAACTTTTAAATCAATTGGGTTTTCCCAAATTTGTAAAGTAACTAAATGTTTAATTTTTCCCTTTAAACAAAACGAAGTGCAAGCACCCGTTGCTGAGGAGCAAAGGCCTCCTCACGTGCTCTCACTGTGCATTTTTGTTCAGAGGTGACACAGGAGGCAGTGTCACCAACACACCTCCCTGTGGACATGTCCCTGCTCACAGTGCTCAGATCAACCTGTCCCAAGGCCCTGACACAACAAACACTCCAGGCAATACAAACTGCAGATCAATCACTTGAGGGGAGGACAGAAGCCACAGAGGATCCCAGGGCAGAAGGCAGGTTTAAATGGAGAAAGTGGGAGATCAGGACAAAACATGTTGAAAAAAACAAACAAACAAATAAAAAAACCTCAACAAAAACAAACAAACCACAAATTTTTACAGCACAACACAAACAAGATGTGCTGCATAAACATATAACCCTTCAAAGGGTTTTCAGTGTGGTTGGCAGAAAAAATAAGCCTTGAAAAATGTGCTAAAAACAAGCAGAAATTCTCATTTTCCATCCTCTGGCTTTTCTTCTTCAATGTAATGTTATGAAGCAAGTAGGATTAGAAAGAAACTTTTGAAATAAAAACTGAAGGGATTCTCAAAATTAATATTCTAGTTGAAAATGTGAATTACTTATTACATCACTTCATAACAGGATCAGATACGATGAAACACTTCACACTTACAGAAGAACATCCCAGACAAGAGTCACACTTACTCTTTACTGAGCAGGAGGTTCTGAAGTGCCTGCCTATCATTCTTCAGTTTCTTCACCAGCTTCTGGAGGCGACAGCATTCCTCACTTAAATGTTGGGATGATGGATGGTCCAGGTCCACAGAAGGTGAAGATGACTCAGGAAGCACTTGAGATGCCTCACTATCACCTAAGGACACCCTGCTGCTCTCCATGGCACACACTTTCTAAGCAGGGTAAATTCACATGGAGAACACATGCACAAAAAAAGAAAATTAAATTTAACGTGAAATTACCTTATTTGGGCCATCAGAAAAGATCAAATGGAGGTTAATTCTAAAATGTGCATCTATATCTAACAAGTGTGATAGAAGAAAACAGGGAGGGAGGGCTCATGCTATAGGCAGCAGGTTATGTGTGTGAGGCAGAATGCACAAGGCTGAGACATTGAAGAACATGCCAAGAGCACAAGGCAGTGGTTCTGCATTTTCTGCTCCCAGACAGGCAAGAAAGCCACTTAACTATGACCACTTACTTTTTCTAGATCCACAATCTTCCTCACCAGCCTCTGTCTGCTCCACTCACTATAATCTAAATACAATAACAAAGCTTTACACATGTAACTACATCCATGGGGAAACATTGTTCTTGCCTTTTGAAACTTCTGGCCATATCAACATTTAAAGATCTGTGAATGCCAACTTCAAATATCTACCAATGAAAAAATGAGAATGGGCATAAAATATCTGACTTCTAAACCAATTAGCTCAGAAATAAATATAAGCCACTCACATTCACTAGCTTTCAGCTATTGAGAAAGTTTCCTCTATCAATTCCAGTTTAGAATTCTCAGGGACAATAACAGAGGAAACACAGATCTCATTGGAGAAATCGGAGACTCCTGAAAGAAGGTTCTCATTCCAACTTTGCCACTCCTGAATCTTCACTTTTGTAATAACTCCCTAACTTCCACCTTTGTAGGGTTCTGCTGTCACACATATTTCAGATGTACCCAAATCCCTTGCCTCACCTTCACTGACTTTCCAGCACATACTTTTTGTTTTACTGTGAGGAGGGGAAGTGCTCAGCACATGATCCAGATCCTCCTTCAGCCTGCGATTCTCAGCCTGCATTTCCCTGATGTTCCTGGAGAGCCTCAGCACAGCAGCATTCAGTGCCTTCAGTCGTTTCTGGGTGTCTCTGCCCTCTGCACTTGGAAAAGGGATCAAAACCAGAAAGTTAACTTAAAAGCAGAGAACAAAGAAGCAGCATTAAAAAGAGTGGAGCAGCTTCACTATTCAAGTCAGATGGCTGAGTTGACAGCCTCAGGTCCACCATAATAACATTTCTCAATGTTTTATTTTATTTGGGGAGTTACCTATTCTTTTCTGAAAAAGCATGCAAAGATCATCTTGCTCAACACTTCCACAATTGTTTTAATTTGCATCAAAAAATCTGAAACTTTGAAAATTCATTTATTACTTTTACTTCCTCCCCCACTCTGTTCCATTTATGCACAAATAAGGGCACTTGTATGAATGTGATTTATCTTATGTTCTGTTTGTTTTGTTAACCAGCCTTATAATGCTTTACCAGCACTCTGTGAACCTCTGATTTAAAAAATGCTTCAGCCAACTGTGAGACTCCTCCAAAAAACTGTCCAGCACAGAGAGCAAACCTGCAGGCTCTGAATGGGTTTTGTTCACTAACAAACATTGAGACTGGGGGAGAGAGAGAGGGATAGACAGAAATGAAATAGCTCTCAAACAAATCCAACACCCAAGTGTATTTCCAGATAACTGGAAACGATTTTCTACGGTAAAAGAAACTATCCTTGTGTCTATAAACCCCAGACAGATCTGAAAACAGATTTGAAGAATACAGCTAATATGGAAATGAAAAGCATCAGAAATTGGAAAGCCTGTTATGTGCTAAAATGACTTTAAATATACTACAGGGATTTTTAGTTTTTTTCTAACAAAGGGAGGAAGACATCTGAGCTTCAAGATGTGCAAAGTTGTAACGTTTGCTCACAAAACAGACTTTTAGTGAGATGAAATATATTTTCTTTATTGCTATGAGAAAATTCCCAAAAACTTACTTCTGGAAATAAAGGCCTGAAGTAATTTATGCACTTAGTTTTGCACAAATGCCACTGTCAGTGACAACCACAGAACAGTTTATGAGGGAATCTTACATCCCATCCACTGGAATAATTACAAGGTAAAAGGGGAGACAGCCTACAGTCAGCATATCAGAGTGAAAAGGGTGAATTTTCAGCTGATCTCATTTTTAGAAACTAAAAGGAAATTAAGAAAAAAACCAAACAAAATAAGGCCGTCCAGATGTCATGGATGACTATCCCCACAGCTGTCCCAGGCAGGAGAGAAAAAAAAGAGTAAAAACCAAAACACAACACACCATCAAAATGGGGTAGTGACATAAATGACAGAAATCATAACCAGACCACTCAGTGACATTATTTTAGGCTCATCTAAACCTAAACAGAGAAATCGATTTCAGTCCATTTTGAGAGCTTAAAAAATCAGTTTCTGGCTAAAACTGGATACTACAGCTTCACATATAAATAACCACACTTCAGTATTAACACTGAAAAAGAGAAGCCAAATGCCATTCACTTCAGCCAGAACTAATAGAGACATGCATCATGAAAGAAATACTCTCAAACAACTCTTTCAATATGCCAGAGTCCTGACCTTCAACATGATTTATTATTTCAGTGCTCAGCCTCTCCAGCAGAGACTGACAGTCACGTAATGGAGAGAGACTGCCCTGACCACCACTTTTTGAAGCTATGAATAAATGAGGACAAGGAAGAGACCTGGTGACTCATTTGCACCTGTAAATAAACTAGGTGTGATGGCTTCGAGCTTTGAGAGGCTGGTCACTGCAGGCCTGAGCCAAAAGATTTACTTTTTTAAAAAAGTGACAAAACAAATTGCAGTTTTCAATCCACAAGTGACAGTGAATTAGGGAACAAAAGCAGTATAAATAATGACCCTAAGGAGTTCTCACGTGTTTCTATCAATCTAAATAATTACACTCAGTGTTAAGACAGTTGTCTGTACTTAACACTAGGAGGTCAAGTATATTTTGAAGTGGTGTGGTAACAAATTTTACTGTCCTACAAGACACTCTTGCCCTTTTTTCAGCTCAAATAACACTCACTTGCAGTGATGCTTTTAATTTGCTCTCTTAGTGGAGTTTTGTCTTCTGCCTTTGTGCTTTGACTTTTTTGGCCTCTATAAACTGTTCACCCTCAGCACCATGCCCACACTTGCATGCCAGTGACAAGCACTAGTACAAGCTTCTCTGACACACTTTACTAGTCTGTGTCTCTGTAGCAAAGGAAAATAATGTTTACTCCAAGAACATTTTCTTTGCAGCACACACTCTAGAGCAAGATGCAGAACTGACTCAAGTGTGAAATGCCAAACATCCAGGGAGTTTGTTTCAATTACAAGTAATGCCAGAATAGGTGTGATTATGAGGGAAGATGTAAAAGAGATAAATTTTCAGTGCCATCCTCTGCTTTCTAAATAGCTCTGGTATTTTTCCAGATCCACAGAATGATCTATCTACAAGCAAAAAAATGTGACTAAGACATATTTCAAGACTGCGAAGCCAACCAAAGCAGTACCAAAAAAGCAAATCCAGCTATCTAAATGACAAAAACTGTTCCCATGTAGTAGCTTTCCATCAGCTAAAGTAAGACTCCAGTGATATGCCAAACACATGCATGCAAACATTTTTATCAGGAGAATTAAACATACTTTTTCCTCATAGTCTCAGACTTGGCCAGGAGGAGTTGAAGGCGATGAACCTGTGAAACAGAGATTCCATTAAGGAGCATTAGCAATGTCAGCTTCCACAGCAACACATCTGCTCATTAGGTGAAAATCAGAACAAGACTCTCTGGGCAGTGGCAGAGCTAATGCTGCCATCACTGAAAATCAGGCTACTGTTAAATTTGCTTCCATCTCAACATTACACTTATGGATGTACAGTGGGTTCTTGACTTGCCCTTATTCATTAACACACTCAACCTATTGAAAAAAACATTTTTCCAGTACATACAGCTGGAGTTGTGAGAGTAACTATGAAAACCTGCCACCACAGGTGCTGTTAAGGTACAAGAAACTTATCTTAAATATTCCATTTTCACTTTGACTCAACAACTGCCCAGCTTCCTGTCCTGCCTGCACCCTGAAGGACCTGCCAGATGTACCTCCTCATAGTAGGTTTCCATGGCTAACCTCACTTCTTCCAAACTACTGGTCTTCATGTCTGCCTGGGATTCACTGTAAATAGAATAATACAAAAAAAAAATAAAATCCAGTCAGATCAGCAAAGACACTGCAAGCTGATTGTTCGTAATTTTTTTGGTTTATAATTGCCAATATGTTCTGGGAGTTTATTAAAATGTCTTAAGGAATAGAACACAAATGAAAAATAACATGGGTTGCCAGTTCTCTCTATTAGCTCATCCAATACAAGCCTCTACCCCCTGCCCCCTCAAAGTCATACTTAATAGTGTTGTCTTTCTCCTTGCACTGCTCTTCAAGCTTGACAGTCTTCTGCTTTAATCCAGTAACCACCTACAGAAAGAACAAAGAGCTCATGAGTCCTTGAATGATCTGTCTCTTCAGAGAAGGTCTATTCCTGTCTGCCCTGTCTTTATAAATTGTACCTAATCAGATATACTTATTTCTACATATTTCAGTCCTTAGTAAATCATACACATCTGCTACCCTGTGAAAAAGAGAACACTGATGAAATCAGATGGCTGATTTCATAATGAGCTTAAGCATATGGATGTACAACCATAAAATAAAACAACATTGCCCATTACCTAGCCAACATCAAAGCAGAAAACAATAGGGAGAATACTGCCTAAACAGACTCAAGACAATGACAAAGAAAGCCCTTCAAAATAATGTTAATTCTAGATCTTTGTTACTGACTCCTTACCTGCTAACAGAGATACAGGTTATGTGATTCCCTAACTGATTATTGTTTCTGACCTAACTTTATTTTTTAGTAGTATTTCATCTCAGCAAGAGGAAAAAGGACAAAGGAAAGCAGGAAATGATGAAGACACTCTTACCCATCCATTATCAGTCTTCTTTTCTGACAAAGCTCGTGCCAGCTCAGAGCCCTGCAACAGAAGAAGCAAGTGACCAACTCTGCTGCTTTATTCTACTGCTGGCTCTTTCCACAGAATGTTCCAACCTGCTCAACTCCACAGTCACATCACAGTCCAAGAGCTGAAATTCTGAACTCTCTATGCCCACAGCTTTCTATTAGCACATTTCTCCCAAGATGTGGGTCTGCACACAGTGACAGCCACAAGAAATTCAGTAAGATTCAAGTCTGACCACGACCACAAATGCTTCTTGTCAGGGCCTGACAAGGCTGCTCTTCTGCCTCCTGGTCAGGTCTCAGGACTGTGTGCACCCATCACCCTGGAAGCTCCTAATTAGACAGCATTTTTACTTTACCTTCAGAAATTAAAGGTATTTGTGCTAAATGAACTTATTTGTAGTGCATGGCATCATCTTCCTTTGAACTGAGTTGGACTGCTGATCTGCTGGACCAGAAATCCCTTTACACCACCTCTCATATTCCAGCTCATCACTCCTAGGAGTCACCACACTACAAAATTCCTACTCTTTTGCCCCCACAAGAAATACCCACCCTGGAAGGATCCAGCAGTTGTTCAATCTGTTTATCCTTTCTACTGTTCTCCTCTTCCAGGCGACGGAGCTTTGTCTTCATTCGGTCTCCCTCATTCTTCTGAGCTTGTATCGTCTAAAAGAGGGGAGAAGAATCTTAAGCACATTTCAGAAATAGGAAAATGCAGAGTTTACATTTTTTTTGACATTTTGATGTCAAAACCAATCCAATTACGATGGTAAAGATAACAAGGAAGAAGAGGAGAAAACAGCCAAAACACAAAACCACCACAATGGAGCAGGGCAGACACCAGGACAGGACAGCTTAGGGAGGAGAAGGAGGGAAGATAAAAGGAGAAGGTCTAACAGAAAGGCAACCTTACACAAAAAATCAACCCCAGCCAAGGTATTTGTCTACAGGTAACCCCAGAGTTCAACAAGCCCAGTCCTCACTCTTCATACAGTGCACCAACCTCTGCAGAAAACACCAACCCTATTATCACAGTGAATTTGTCTAAGACAGACACAAGTTTTAGTTTAGCCCTACATTACAAATGCAAAAAAAATGTGGATATCTCAAGTTGTAGAAATCAAAGTATTCTGGATCATTAAGGCCAGGACATGTACAGGATGGAGCAATGCCATGACTTTTTCTGTAATATCAGAGAAACTGTACCTTTTTCAGTTCTATAATTTCATCATACATATCTTCTTTCTCTTTGTAGTCAGGAGTTCCAGGAACGTAGCCTACAGAAAGGGGTATGTAAAATAAGCAGATCCAAAAGAGGTATTTTTAACCAACCAGAAACCTTGCAGATAAAGAGAAATATCTAGAACAGCACCAAAGTGGAAACTATTTTTTTCCCTTTCCTCAAAGAAGAAAAATCAACAAGGAAATTAATTTTAGAAATGGAGGTGAAATGGAAGTGTTACTGTATGAAAAAAATCTGCCAGATTTTGCAGCCAATTTTTTCCTAATTACTTCTCTTTTGTGGTGCTATATTAAAATAGCCATCTCAAGAAAGATACAAACATCACAGAAGACTAGAGTCTCCTCATCCAAATAAATCCATTATTTACAAAAGGTTTCTAAAAGATGCCTAGAATACATTTTTCTATTTATGCTTAACATGTACAAATATATATTGTGAAGTTGCAAGAAACTGTGAATCACCAGTAAATGTACAGGTGTCATTTAAAATGGGAGTGGAATTTAAAAGTTTACAGTTCTCGTTTAAGAAAAGCAGAATAAAACTTTTAAAGTTTGCTCTTCTCATAAAACTCATTTGATTTTAATGTCACAACCACATGATAAAACACTTTCTAGAGAAGAAGTAAAAGGAGTCAATTACACAGAATTTCAGGCAAGCAGATGGTTTCTATCAATGGTTCCTAAACTATGTTTTGAAGTCACAATAAATTGTCTACAGCTGTCCCATTGAACCATATTATATTTGCAACGTTTTCAGCTGCAAATGCATGGCAATTTGCAAAAGTTTTGAAAGCTAACAGTGACTCATTGCTCAAAAAAAATTGGAAATCCCTGCCTTAACCAATTTAGGAATCTCAAAAAGTATCTCATGGATCATATTTTCACACATGTATTTTAGTAAACTAAAATGGCTCTTGCTTTTCTTAAGCAATGTGTGTTTTTAGAGGGGAAAAAAATAAATTCACTTTTATCTACCACACCATTATAGAGCTTACCATTACTGGAAGAACGAGCATGTTTTGGCTTTTTCATTCCTAGAGCTTCCTTCAAATATTCTGGAGTGCTACTGGAAACGTTAGCTCGCACATGCCCCGTGTCAGCATCTGATTTCAGAGCATGGCTCATTCCTGCCAAGAGAAATGGAACAAAAACGCAAAAATCAGGGATAATTGTGAATTAAATTTGTGGAATTATTCTGAACAAATGCAACATGGAAAGCTCCAGATGCTGTTAATTATTCCCTCTATAAATGCCAATGCTCAAGATCAGATAATTCCAACCACCCAAATAAATAACAGTGAAATTAATTCCTATGTAACCTTTAATCAAATACAAATCTATTTTTTAATAGTTTATATGTTAAGCTGTCCACAACAACGAATTTTATCCATAAATGCAAACAACATTTCTATACTAATACCTTGTTTCAGAAATCCCAGCCACATCTGCCTTGGGTTTTCAACAGTTGCATTCTCAAAACAAGCACTGCCCGTTCCCTGCACAGATCTCCAAGCTGCAGCTTTTCTAGGATACAGTTGTGTGCTTGAGCTGTAGGGAGACTCTACAGGAAAAGAAAATATCTCAGTGCTGCCTTCAAAAGCTCAAGGTTACTAAAATTGTTGTTGTCTTGTTCTTCAAAGTTTCCAGAGTCAATCCTATTACTTGTAAAAATAAAATTTAACAGCACATTCCATACTGGCTTATACGGAGCAATGGGACAGGCACATAAAAAACCCTACAAAGCCCAAAAAACTCCACTACAAATAAAAAAATACAATTTCAAAAAATGAAGAGGCTTAGAAAAAGGCAGAGTGACAGTAGTATGATTCAACAAATGTGGAAATACTTATGTGTACAGTTTGGATAGGCATCTTTAAGATACCTGCACATCAAAATGTTGTTATTAACAACACTTTAGGGTAAAGCCTTCTTTGAAACATTCACTACAAGCCAATAAAGCAAGGTAAATGGAAAAGTATAGCAAAAAAAACATAAACCCCAGAAAAAAAAAGGACAAATCCAATATTAAAACTGCAGATCTAATAATAATAACAACATTGTACTGTGAAAAAAAACCAAAACAACCCTTCACAACAAATGAAACAGAGAACCATTAAATCTACACACAGAGATTCATGACTGGATGGTGGAGAGCTCCAGTAATTCCAGAGTCTCTCTACACAACATGTATCAGCATTTCTCCAAAAAGACAAGGAGAAACACAAATTCAGAATGGCTGCCATCAGAAGGCATAACATGAGAAAAAAGTAGATTATGCTGGAGAATCAAGATTTACAACCAACCCATACATGTCAATATTTTTGTCTATACAAGCTGGACTTCACAGGTTACAGAACAGATCTCATAGGTGTGCTCTGCACACAGCAGTGAACAATTCTGAAGAGAATAACAAGATCTTATCTCAAATAAAGCTCCCAGTTCCTGTATGCTACAAATGTATCAGGTTTTGCAACTGCAGAATAAAGTTTTGGAACACTTACTTGGTGATTTTGGAGGCTTGTGAAAAATCTTCTTCTTTAACTTCTGAAAGAGAAATGGATTTTTTTTTTTTCTGTATTGAAAATACTCAGCTCTTAAGATATCATCATATAATCTCAAAATTGCCTTCAATCTCCCATTTTCTATGAAGATCTTTTGTTCTAATAAGACAAAATCTTTTCTATAGAAAAATAGTAGCATTAAGCTTATGCAGATTTGGGCACAGCAATGGTGACCAGAATTAAGGTGGTGCCAACTGAAGTCTGATTATACAGTTCTTGCTCAGAACATGAGACCTTTCCCAGCAATATTAAATATGAGTAGCAGAAAATTCAAGATGATCCCAGGGTAGAGGCTGATCTGTAGAACCCTTTAGCTGAAGGAGTTATTAAATTCCATTAAAACTCTCTAAAAGGATTACTTAAGGTCACAACTTGATAGAACAGCAAATAAAGCCAAACATCATTTGCAGTCCCAGTGCTGAGAATGTGGGAGGCAGAATTACACCTGAAATCAGAGGTTTGTGACTCAAGCCCATTGCAGTGCCACTCTTCACTCTCCTCTCTGAGGGGTGCTTGGTGAGCAGGAGGCAGCACACGGATGAGCAGGAACTCCAGAGGGGTTTTGGGGCATTAATCCAAACTCACCATGGCTGTGTCTGACTGGCAGGTTATCACAGACAGGTTGTCATCTCCCTGGAAACACAGACAGGACATTGGCTACTGAACAACTGCTTGTAATGCACATCCAGAAAACCTCCACAGTTCAACAAAGATGGAGAGCAATAAATTCAAACAGTAAACACTGTGACCAAAGCCTCTGTTCCTCTTCCATTGCATTGCTAAAATGTCAATTGTTTAAGATAAAAATAAGCCATTTTTAAAAAACACTAAAGCCACTGAAGGATGGTGGGGCTCTTGCTGCAAAAGCCAACATCATTTGCTCTAATACAAATAGTTTTGGGATATTGTAAAAGTTACTTCAGAAATGAGCCATCATAGAATGCTTTGGGTTGGAATGGGCCTTAAAGATCACCCAGTTTCAACCCTGTGCCACAAGCAGGGACACTTTGCACTTGAGTCACAGAGACTTGGCACTGCAGTGCACAGCACTGCACCAGCTGAACCTTCAGCTGGCTCTGCATAAATTTCTCCACCATTTAAGCTGCAACTCACTCAGCTCTTCCCTTCCTCCTTCACCTGTGCTACCCCTGACATGCTATGGGATTGTTCAGTTCCTGTACTGAAATGGAGAAGTGCTCAGGGCAAGGGAAGACACCTCAAATGCAAGGAAGATGACAAGTTTCCCTCCCTCTCAAATGCAATCATATCCACAGCTGAAGGAAAATTTCCACTTAGCTTCCAAATTATCTGGATGCTGCCTGCACAGAAAGGCCTTTTCCACTTGCTGCTGGCTCTGTGGCACTCAGCACCAGCCTTTGGACAGATGCTGATCTGTGCCTGTAAGAGGCAGAGGAGGGGATGAAGTATTTTTGGAAACCCTGGCTGGCAGAAGAGGAGCAAGGAGAGCAGGTTAAAGAGCCTGCCATGCTGGCTGAGAGCAGGCAGGGATGTGTCCTCACACACCAGGCCATGCAGTTTTTCATTTCCTGAGGCAATGCTCCTCACAGCACACTGATTAATTTTGTTATTTTAAGGCGTCTCATTCTGAAATATCTCTCCCTAACTGCAGCTATCATGTTTGGAATCGATGTGAGAAGTGCCCAGCTTTGATAAATGGTAACAACAAAACCTTGGCCAGGATACAAACATGATCACTTTCAGAGCCCCTTTGCTCCTGCAAAACTGCCCCAACCAGAGCCACCTGCAGCAGGCAACAACAGAACCTGGGGGCTCCCAGAGGGGCTCAAAACCTCCAGCTGGCTGCTGAGGGGGTGGGAGACAAACACCAACACAGAAACAAAATTATCTAGATTGGAAAAGCCCTCCAAGGTCATCGAGTCCAGCCTATGACCCAACACCACTTTGCCAGACCATGGCACTGAGTGCCGCGTCCAGCTCCAGGGACGGCAAATCCACCACCTCCCTGGGCACTCCATACCAACACCTAATCGAGGAAATTCTTCCTAACGTCCAACCTAAACCTTCCTTAGCACAGCCTGAGACTTTGTCAGCTCTGTGCCGTGCTGCGGGGCACTCGGGGAGACACAGGCAGAGCCCTGAACCCCGCGGGCTGGAGAAGGCAGAAACCATCGCACTCCCCCTTCCGAGCCACCGTCCCGGTGAGGCCGGGGGTGCTCCAAGGCTCTGCCCCGGCCTCGCCTGAGCGTTTCCTGAGCCGAGCCCGGGCCGAAGCAGGCCTAGACCCGGGGCCTTCTCCTCCTCCCCGCCGCTCACTCCTTACCAGCTCCCCCTCCGCGGCCGCTTCGCCGGCCCCCCGGGCCATGGTGGGAGAGAGGTGGGAAGGCTTCAGGGGGCGGCGGGGCCGCGGGGCCCCCCTCGGGCCGTGGCTGCCGGCTCGGGGCTGGGGGCAGCCATCGCCCCCCGGCGGCACTTCCGGGTCGCGGTAACCATGGCAACCCTCAGCGGCCCGGGGTGGTGACGCATGCGCAGAGCGGGGGCACGCCTGCAGGCAGTGTCGGGGGAGGACTCGGCCTGGCCGCGGAGCGCGGGTGACACCAAGCGGCCCCGCAGGGAGCGAAACCCCGGCGGGCGGCTGAGCGGCCTCTGCGAGGGCTCCGCTCCACTTGCGGGCCGGGAGCTTCTGCCCGAGAGCGCCGGGATAGCTCCGGGCAAGGCGCAACTCCATCCCGCGCAGCGCTGCTACCGTCCCGCAGCCACCGCCTGCCCCTGGAGCGCGCCCGGGTCACGCCCCCTGACCGGCCACTGGCCACGCCCCCGCTCCACTGGGCACGCCCCCTTTGCGACACTCGCGGTGCGGCCGGGCCGGGCCGGGCCGGTGCCGGTGGTCCCGGCCATGTGCGACCCCCAGTCCCGCTTCGTGGCCCGGGCCCGCCGCCGCTTCGCCATGACCCGCGAGTGCGCCGTGCTGCTGCCCGGAGTCTGCGCCGCCCTGGCCGACCCGCGGCAGCCCGGCCTCGACGACACCTGCCTGGAGAAACTGCTGGACTGGTTCCGCAGCCTGACGTGGTTCGGTGAGCGCCGGGAGCTGGCGGGGGCTGGTCCGAGGGGAGCGGAGATTCCACACGGGATCGCAGGGTAGTTCGGGTTGGGAGGGACCTCTGGAGATCATCCAGTGCAGCCCCGTGGCAAGGCAGGGTCACCTGGAGCGGGTGACACGGGGTCCGGGTGGGATTGGAACGTCTGCACCACGACCTGAGGGGCTGCGACACCTGGAAATGCTGTGGGTGCACCCGAATTCATCCGCTCTAGCAGCCGGCAGGGCTTACCCCAGCCCAGAGAACCGCTTTAATGAGACAGCGCAGCCCTGGCAGTGAGCTGCTGTTTTCTGGCCTCTCCTGGGCAGACCCCACGCTGGAGCTGGTGCAGGACAACCCGTGTCTGACAGAGCTCCTCGCCTCCGTGCTGGCCCTGCCCGACCCCAGCCCCGCCGTCCTGTCCTTCACCCTGCAGCTGGCTGGGATCCTCGCCTCTTCCGAAAGCCGCTTCCAGCACCTGCAGGTGAGTCGGCCACCCGGGTACCTGCTGCTGTGTGTCTGTCTGCTCCTTCCGTATGGACGGTCCCTAAAAACGTGAATGTTCTGAGTAGTAAATCTATGCCTTACGTGGAACAACTCAGCAAAAGTGATTCAGCAGCAAAGACCTACCGTCACCAATCCTGTTCAATTCTTGTGTACAGCTGCTTCTCACTTCTGTCTCACCACAGCAGGACTGAATGCTGATGGGTAGTGCTTCCATTTTTACTTCAAAAGAGTGTATGGGGTAACCCAGCTCTGGGTCGGACTCGATGATCCTGAGGGTCTCTTCCAGCCTAGTAATTTTGTGAACACTGCTTCACAGCAGTCACTGTACAGTACTGTATCCCAGGACAGATCCTGCAGGTTGAAACTGCACTAACAGATGTGGTTTTGCTTCTGTAGTAGGTTGACAGGAAATTTTTGGTTCCCTGCAAAAACAAGGGAGCTTTTTAAAGCCGTGCTTTCTGCACCAGGATACATTCTAGTACAAAACCCAAAAGGCTTCATTCAGGGAAGAGATGTGTACAGGTGTATAAAGCAGTCTGATGGAACTGATACACATTATCCTTCAGCACCTGCAGACAAAGCAGATTTGGTTTTGAACACTCTAGTTTATCCACATGTTGCGTTTAAGGTGAGATTCTGAAAACTGCCCTTTTTTGATACTTGTAGCAAGAGGACGTTTCACTACAGTACTGATACTCTTGACTGGGGCCCAGCAGCCCCTTTGCTCACTGTTCACTCTGTTTTCTGCCCTGCCTCAGGAGGAGAAGCTGCTGGGGAGGCTCTTTGGCCGGGAGGGGCCGCGGGGCGGCGCGGCGTGGGCGGACGCGTCGGTGCGCAGCGCCTGGCTGAAGGGAGCGCACGGCATGCTGCACCACCTGCCCGCCCTGCGCTGCCTCTGCTCCGCGGGTGAGTGCTGCTGGGGCCGCCCGCTCCCCCTCTGCTCTGTCCCTGCCATCCCAGCCTCTTGCCCGGGTGCCAGATGAGCATTTCTTGTTTATTTAAGGTTAAAGGAAGCCGTTTGTCAAAAAAAAAAACGAAGTTGGTGAAAGGTGTTGGTTAAGTTAGCTAAGCATTAAGTTAACTTCTGTTAAGTAAGTTATGCATTTGGTTTTTTCCTCCAAACACTGAAGGTGCTGCTTTTTTCAGAGGGGAAAGAATCTTATAAAATTGCCCTTATAAAATTAAGAGCTGTCTGTATTCTTATTTGTAATTCCTACTAAAGGGTACGTTTCAGCATGATTTTAGTGCAGAAAAACTGGTCACAGGCTCATTTTTCTCTTTGTGCTTGCACACATTTGCAATCCTCTTGTTGTTATGGAGGTATGTAAATTATGCTGTTAACACCAACTTCAGATCCCATGTACAGAGGGGTCTGTATTGGTATTCAAGTGCAGCACATGCTGCACTTTTTCCATGTGATGGAAAAGTGGTGCTGATACTGCTGTTCATGTTTTTCCTGCTGGTTATGTCCAGAGATGGTACAGGCTCTGTCCATAAATACACACTGAGTGTGCTGTCAACTCTCCTAATGTCACTGATGTTATATTGGAGTCTGATCCTGAGTTATTAAACCCCTGAGGATCTGAAAACAATTTTATTTGCTTCTATTTGCTTGTTTTTAAGGACTGGCTGACTTTGAGTAGAGACTACAAAATAAAGTATAAGAAAACCCTATCACCACCATTTAAAGATGTGTGGTACCTGAATTAGAGTCATAACTTGTTGTTTGTTGCTCCAGTGACTTGTTTTGTTTTCCCACAGGAGGCATGGATGTGATCTTCACTCTGCAAGGAGATCCCAGCCTGTTTGTGGCTTCAGCTGCCAGCCAGCTCCTGGTGCACATGCTCACCTTCTCCCTAGAGTCTGAAACATCCAAAGCTCTCAGTAGCAAGGACTGTGACTGGCCAGCCTGTGCCCAGATGATTGTAAAGCACATAAAAGAGTCCCTTCAGTCCAGCTCTGCCTCTCACATCGAGCAGTCACTGAAGCTGCTGAGCAGTTTGTTTGGCAGTTGTTTTGGCAGTTGTTATGCTGCATGGACTGAAGTCCTTTGGTTAGACATAGCAAAGCAAATAGAATCCTTTCTGCTGGAGGAGACTGTTCAAGCACAGCCCCTGCTGGCAAATCTTTTGCTTAATGTGGCACGGTAAAGATCTTGTGGCACCTTGGAGCCCCTGCTGAGATAGATCTGTCTGCCACCCTGGGATAGGTTACACTTACACTTCTCTCTTCTCAGATCCCCTGCATTTTGTGGCACTGAAGGCAGCTTTTGGGCTTTAGTAACTTCTGCTCTGGAACACTTAACCCCAGTACAAGCAGGTCCTCTGGCAGTGGGACTTTTGAAGCTCTGCAAATGGTAGGACTTAATGCAATGAAATTTTGCACTGTGCAGGTGTTTCTGCTCCATATTTCCCCTTTAGGTAGTGAAAAAGCAGCAAGAAATCATCAGATGAATACAGTACATACAGATACTGATTTCCAGGCTAAATAACACTCTTGTTCTAAGATAGAAGGACACTTTTGTTAACAAGATATTCCTCTCTCCCAGCCTCCTTACACAGGATCCCACTCTCTATTTGCATGGCTTGATAAAGCTGCTTCTGAATTCCAGAGCCATTTCTCCTGTGCTTTCAGTTAGCAAGGGAACCTTGGAAGAAGGCTCAAATTGTGATACAGCTTTTACTGCTCTGTCATTGCTGACGTGTTTAAAAGCCTGCATGAAAATCATTTATCCTGCTCAGCATTTGGGGGCAAGTATTTGGGAAGGAATTGAAGTTTACTTGTGTTGGTAACTGCTGTTTCCTCCTTGAAGCCCACAAGATGTCAGGATTCAGGCACTGACTGTTCTGCTTCAGCCAATGGACTGTATTTTGAGAGCGGCCTCCCAGCCTCTGGAATGTGCAGGTACAGTTGTGACAGAAAAGTCAGAGGCCAGTCTGCTTGCCAGTATTTTAAGTGCCTCGTGCAGAAAAAACTGGAGGAAAAAGTAGAAGTCAAGGACAGTAGCAGTGTTTGTGGTAAATCCTACTGCCAGTTGCATTTGAAGGCATGTTCATACTACATTAGCTGAAAGTCTTGGTTAGCTTTAAAAATCACGGCCTTTTCTATTCATTGATGACCTGAGCTCTTCCCTTCTTTGGTCCTCTAGGTTTGCTGGATGAGTCTGTCAGTGATCCTGCCACTGTTGAAAGTCTTCTGTCTTCCAAGACATCTTGTGCTGGTCTCCTGTGTCAGACCCTCACTCACCTGGAGAAGCTGCTGTCTCTGGTAACATTCAGAGAGGGGGAAAAAAGAGGCTGAGGATCAAACTGGTCCTTGAAAGACCACCTTGAAAGTGTTCAGATGGTTGCACACTTTTTCAGTAGAGCATAACAGAATGTGGAAAGAAGTTGGCAGTGAGGGTTTCCATAGTTGAAGGAAATTTAGCACAGTAGGCTCTAAACAGGAAAACAGAGGGATACTGAGACTCTTTAAGAGAGACTGCACTTAAATTTTAAATTTTTCTTGATGAGCTTTGTTACCATACCTTACTTGTATTACAATTACTGATCCTGAGAAGAAACACAAATTGAACTGCTTTCAAGCAGTCAGAAGAATCTCCTTCCATTTGTGCAGCAGTTCTTGGAAGAGAGGAAGATCATTTATTTGTAGTTACTGATATTGTGGTACCTTAAGAACTCAGTAGAAGTTGCAATTTTTTGCTGTCTTCTGACATAAAACTGCTCTCTACTTGAGACTGTTGCTGGAATCTCTTTTCTTTTCTTTCTCACTCATTAGAAATGTTTGAGAGTGGATTTACCCTGTGTATCTTTGCTGCACTCTCTCATGACAATATTACAATTCTGCAATGGCTTCCTGAGCCCAACTTCTCCTCTGGGAAGCACAATCAGCCGGAATTTGATCAATTGCTTCAGAGTGCAAAAGTCAGCTCTTGATGTCCTTGCAGCACTCTCAGAGAAAAAAGGTGACTTAATCTTTGCTTCCTTATCCAAAGCAATTTTACAATTCTGTGTCTTTGTGTATTTCAGCAGGGATTTGGCTGCTCCATCTCTCAGTATTGGTCCTTTGGGTTTGTTTTCTCTGTTTCAGACTGTGACACTCTCATAGGAAATCTTTTTGATGTCCTCCTGGCATATCTGCAGAGTCCAAACACCAGCCCTACTGTGAGTATAGAACTAGGAGAGATCCAGGTCTATTAGCTTGCCCCAGTGGGGTGTAATTCTCATAAAGGGTCTGACTGCAGTTGTTTCTCACCACACTTTGTATTAGAAT